CAAGGCTATCTATTGACATTTCAGGGCTTTTTGTGACACATGGGAAACACACGTCTTGAGAACTTGCAGGTTATCCAGTTAACTTTGACGGCCTTTTTAAATTTTCTGAAACCTTTGTTCCTCTTCTTAATGATCTATCATGTCGAGTACTTTATTTTCTTGAGCAGTTGAACATTTTAGTAGCTACCATTCTTCATTGCAGCAACAAAGGAATATTAGAGGTACTCACAGGAAGAAAAATGTATTTATATTAATCTGTATTTAATACTTTCTACAGTAGTCTATTGACAGTCTGATTTTATCTATTCTATCTGAAGATTGTTGTTTTTGGTGTTGTGTCTTGAATTGAGCCTTGAGGCTTTATAATTTTTTTTTCCATCTGGAGTACAAAGTTTATGCCACTTCAGTGAAAATAAGTGCATGCTCACAACTGTATTTTTAACTTACTCATCGCGTTTTCAATTCTGTAATTGTATTTGTTCTTTGTATCCATAAATACATAAATGACTTCAAAATAAGTTGTATGACTAATTAATTTTATGCATTTTAATTGAATAGAGTAAATCAGACTTTTAAATATCTCAGTAGAATAGAAAATCTGTTGGAAACTGTGGGTGGTTCTCTTTGACTGACTGTAGCTTCAGTATTAAGTATTTATTTCAAAAGAAGTTTAGCTCAAGTAAATGAAATTGGAAATCTTAAAACTCCATCTTCCAACAAATGGAAACCAATAGTTACAGTCGTGGTTTTGACAATTAAGTGCTGACAATCTGAGCACTCCAGTTAGTTCTGTGGCTGTTGATTAGAATTCCGTGGTGATTAGTGAGTGTGAGGATGCAATCACATCTGTAGGATTTAATCAGTCCAGTGCTGGATGAGGTAGTCCAGAGATGAAGAGAGAAACTGGAACTTTTGTATGTAGTATTGTTTGGGGTTTTTTTTGCCTTGCTGTAAAGAGAAGAAGAAGGACAAAAAGTAGAGAAGCTTATCTTTCCCCTCCTCCCTAAACTTGCAGGTTTTTAAATTGTAGTATTGACTGTTTAGTTCTGTGATGCAGGAGAATAATACTGTTAACACCTGTGAAGGGGAGAAAAGATGCATGGGGATAATCACTTTGTGATGTTCAGCACTCTTGCACTTGTGAGCAGGATTTGTTTTTCCACACTGTGCAACCGTGTATCTGGCTTTCCTTTTTGTTAATCTAGGATTTTAAGTGTTTGGCTTGGACGTATACAATATTTTGGTGTCTTATTTTCTTCTGTTACACATTGTGATTATATGCTGTCTTTTTAACACTGAAAGCTTGTATCTTAAAAGAATAATATACAGAGATGAACATTTTGTCCTCTGCCTTTCTGGGAAGCAGATAAGTGAATGTTAATGTGTGCAGAAACAGAAAACCATTGTGGGTACTCTTGTCTACAAAGGAAAACTCTAAAGGAAAAACTTTTGGATCTCTGCTCCGCGCAAAGCTTCTTTGTGACCTTTCTGACTGAGTAAAGGTGACCATGTGCTGAATCCTCCTTTAGAACCATCTGCACTGAGACATTCTTAACTTAGAGGAGGGATACTGTTGTTATCATCTGGCAGTGCAAGCAGTCCTCCCGTTGCTGCCTTTTGGTTTACTGCTACTGCTGTCACTACTTTTCTCTCCTCTACGATGTGTGGCTCGATTTGTGTAAATAGTATTGCCCACTTCTGTGTGATTTTTTTTTTGGTTACATTATTTTGCATTAGCACCTATGGATCTCTATTTGTCATATATCCACATAAAAGAAGGTTGTTCCTACCTTGCAAAACTTATAATCTAACAGCAGGATTCATGTTTTAAAGCAGTGTTTTCTGAGAGCATGTTGTGATGCAGATTATGATGTTTGGGTTTAATAGCAGGAGCTGTTCATTTCATGTGTATTTATACAGTGTCTAAAAGAATAGGTGTGGGTGAGCTGAGCATCAATCTGAAGATAAAACCATAAATTAATTAGGAACATATAAGGAGTGGGAGATTAAAATGCCAAATGTTTTAAAAAGGACTAAGCATTTCACTGTTCCTGTTAGCTGCCCCCTGCTTCTATGCTTATATTGTGTATGACGCAAAATGCTGTACCTCGGAATTCTGGTTTTCCATTTTATTTATTTATGGTTTGGTTAACTCTTGCCTCCTAAGGAAGCAAAAAATTAGTAGGACTGTATTAACTTTATTTTATAGATCTCCAAACAGGATTCTGCTATTGCATTTCTGGCGAAAAGGTCCTATGGCCCAGAATATCTAGTAGATATTTTTGAAATAAACTGTATAATGTTATATCATATTAGGATCAATAGTAGTGCATCACGGCAGACAAACAAGCAAGATTTATAGGGAGGAGAAATATCTTTAGGTTAGGCAACTGTTTGTAGCTTTAAAAAGGCCAAAAAACATAAATAAGCTTTTGAATATACAAGCTCTTCTTGACTAGTGTCACTAATGATAGTGATTTTTCTTGAATAGTGATAATACTAATTACTTTGAAGAAAAAGGGAAGGAAGACAGAAAAATTAATCTTCTTTGTAGCTGTATTGGTAGTATTTACATCTACAGTTCATAACTCCAAAACTCATTCACTGTAATGTTAAATCCTGGAGTCATAAAAGGCTGTCTGTGAATTTAAGGAGTGACAAGTTTGTAAGTGGAACACAAGTGGACTAAAATAATGTAGCACTGCGTGTTGATTTCTATTTCGTCAAGTTGCAATGACCTGCATAATATAGCCCAGTACCAGTCTGTATTTGAGTACCCAGAACTCCTGCCCCACTCAGCACTCATTAGCAGTTGAGCCACAAGCACCAGTGTAAATATCAGGGCAACAAATTTACATGAGCTGCAGTGTTCAGGTGTACTTTTTATTTCTTTCAACCCTACCATAACTACGGAATACTCTAAACTATACGTAGTTCTGTGTTTGTTCTTCACTGCGTGCAACACAACACACTGGGGGAGCAGTAGAGTTTGTAAATCCATCTTGAAAGGCCAGAGATGAGGCTGAATTAACGCAAGATCAACGATCTCTTGTTTCCAGGAGTAAACCCCCAAAATTATGAACAGCATTACTAAATACCCGAGTATCTAAAGTTAATCTAAGTAATCTCAGAGTCCCCAAAGCTGTAGCAGTAATCTGCATTTTTTTTTTTCCCCTACTAGCATAAAGAAAATAGTACTTAAGCTAATCTTCTACTTTGGAAAAATAAAACATTAGGTGGAAAGATACTGGCACATAAAAGCCAAGTGCACCAGCTTTGCTCTGAAATTTCAGTAATCTTCCTTCTAGCCTTGGCTGCCAGACTGATGCTGAAGAAAAGCTTAAACAGCCTCCCTCCCTTGTGCATATTATTACATGCCTCTGAAACTTTTTTCTTCTGCTCTGTTATTCTCCTTCTTTGTGAGCTCTCACGAAAAGAAAGGGAATAGATTATAATAATATTGTAGCACCAACGCTATTGTGTCTGCAGTAGCCTTAGTCCAAGATAACGATTTGATTAGCATGGCTTTTTCACTTACTGGAATTAAAGATACGTGGATTTTCCTGGGATTGAGTGCTTTCAGGATGATTTTTTTTCACCTTCTTTCTTCAGCTGTGTGTCTGTGCAGAGAAGGAGGAGGTTTAAAATTGGTATAGCGCTAAGGGCAAAAAATTAGTGCAATGAGTCATCACAGTCACTCCCGCAATGTCCTGTGCAACGCATTTGTTCAAAAGGACCATTGTTCCTTAAAATCACTGATGATAGTTCTTCTAAATTTTTTCCCTGCAATGTAGTTGCTTTAAATGAGGTTTGACATTTCCAATTTTGTTATTTGAATGGCCTCAAGGAGGCTTTGAAAAGTTTGACACACAGAATATGAAATGCTTAACAAGACTATTAAAGATAAACTAATAGTTCATAGTGCAGCAGAGAAGCAGAGTGATTTAGTGCATTCTAGCAATCCAAAGACTTTTAGTGGCATTGAATTACATTACAAAAAAGTTTAATTGCCTTAATTGAATTGTTGATAGAGTTATGTTTTTCTAAAATATTAAAACTTTTCCTCCCTTTCTTCTGTAGCTTCTTTCACTTCTAGCTATGCAACACACAGAAGTTGTGTATGTTGGCAGTAGCCATAACACATAAGCAGAGTTATTCCCTTTGCCAGAGGGTGTAAAATCTTGATTCCACTGATATTAGTGAGAATTTTGCTCTCAGCCTCAGGCCTTGAATCAAAAAAAGCACCCTTTAGTACAGCTGGGTTTGAGGTTTTTAACAGAAGCAATTAATTGTGACTACTTAAGACATCTGTATCACATTTGTAATCTTACAGGTTGTTTAAAGAGGAACAAAAGAGATGCTTTTCTGAGTCAATGCAGATATTGCAAAAATGAAACAAAATCTTTTTGTTATAGAGCTTTGTTTATTCCCCTTTTTGCTTTGGTCTGTTTTACAGTAAGACTGGTGTGGTTCATATATTTGATGTCACATTTACAAAATTTTTAATCTTATTAGTAAGAGGAAAAGGTAACATTATTTTTAGCTTATAAAATAGAAGTGGTTTCATTTGTTGCTAGAATTTGTTTGTAGTCTGTTAAACTCTTAATGCTACTAGTTTTGTTTTCCTAAATGTATATACTTTAATTTAGAAACATTGTTTTTGCACACTGCCCCAACAAAGCACTATCCAGAGAGAACAAATAATATTCACCCTCATTTCATGTGCTTCTAATCTATATTAATTTTCTAGCTGATGGACTTTTGAAAATAGTTACTTTTTTTTTTTTTGAATATGTGAACGATTTCCAGGTTATTTCTTTGCTTTGATAACTGCAAAGGAGACTTCAATTTTCTGATCTTGAATTTCTGTTTCACAGATGATATTCATGCTGATGGTTTATCACAGCAGTGTGTCTTCTCTCGAACACAGACAATAGTAAATACAGCTTTGGCTTGAGGAAAGCTATGCTTTTCATTTTTTTTTTTTTTTGTCTCTGTAGAAATACTGCAACACAGTCCAGCTTGATTCTGGAATAGACTACAGGAAACGAGTGCTTCCAGCTGCTGGAAAACTTTACTACCTGTAAGTTTATCTATGATATTGTATTTGCTCTCTTTTTCCTTCTTATTAGCCAACAGTTTCCTAGTCAATGGGAAATGAAAAATGTATAGTAGAATTAGCAGGGTGTGACTTTTCCTTTTTTTGCCTTCTGGTCCATTTTGTTCAGCAAACCGCCTTCCATTATGCCTTGATATTAACTTCATTAAACTACATTTTCAGTATCCACACTAGCATCATTTATAATGTGTGACTGAATAAAAACTAATTAGATTTTTTGGGGAGGTGTGGTGTTTGGAGAACTGAAGTGACAGATGGTTAGAAAGTAATGAATATCCTCTTGTGAGAGATTGCACAATTCTCTTATAATAGAAGAACATCCTTATTGTATTTAAGTAATTAAGTATTTATAGAAATCCAATGGCAAGGATTCATTTAATTTTGGGTGTTTCAAGTGCTGTGGATGAAAAAACCCAACACCCTCCTGTTTTGACAGATTGTTTCTGTTTGTCATGACAAAATTTCTGTAGCTCTTTATATTTGCAAATAAATAAATTTTAAAGTATATTCATAGTTATGGTTGCAGCGTAAATCTGCCTAATAGGAACATTCTCTCTTTTTTTTGTAAAAATACCTTTGCAATACAAACATTTTTCTGTCTTGTATTTGCTCTTGTAGTATTATTATTTGATCAGTGACAACCTGAACAAAGCAGACAACTTGGTATGAGATAAGCAGACTGCTTAGTATGAGATTTATAACTATTTCATGTTTCAATCCAGCATATAATATTGATCATGCTTCCATTAAGAAAGGTGTGGTATTTTTATCACTGTGATAGGTATTTGAAACCAAGTATGTCCATGTCACTTTATAATAAAGTTGGACATGACAGTTGTTTTAGGAAGGAGGAATAACGCTTAGCAGAGTTACAAGAGGTAACTCTTTCTGCTTCTGGAAGGAAATGACAGAATTTTATGTATGGAAAACACGTCCAGTGCAGGTTCTGTATCCTCAAACAAACTGTGACTGTATGAACTCAGGAAAAGTAGCTCTTGTTCCATATTCTTGTCTGGCTCCACTTTCTTTAAGCTTTGCGATGTCTGCTTTAGAAGTACATTTTGAAGCCACCACTGATGTCTCGGTGTTCCTCATCGTGGCTCTTGTTCGGATCGCCGCTGCCCCTGCTCACGGCACTGCTTCCTGTGCCTGCTGCACTCTGTGACTTTGTCTGACAATTGTGGAGAGCACCTGCTGTATTCTTTTCTCACTGCCCATGCTCTGAAGAAAGCAAGAGCACACTGGTGGTTTTTAGCAGGTAATAGGCCTGTGGCATCAGCTCTCAGTGGAGAAGAATTACAAACAAGTCGCAGGAGTAGTACTCAGCTGAAATATATTTCATGGCGATCTGCCGTAAAACTTGTGATCAAGTGAATGGTAGAGACTGGCGATGTTTGTCTTGTATTCTCTTATTGAAAGGATGTAGGTTACCTTCAGAATTTGGTGTGTAAATCATTAGGGAGCAGTGAGGGGAACAAAACAATTTGAAAAATCCTGTAGCTGCCAATGGAATAAGATACTTATTTCATCATCCTTTCTTTTTCTGAGGGAATCTCATTCTTTCTTCTGTTCAGACTTGTTTATTGGAGCTTTCAACACTGCAGAACTAGCTTAGTATGTGGGGATTCTTTTTTTCTGTTTGGTTAAAATTAGGTACTATACAGTATTTTGCTACAGATCTTTGAAATTTAATTAACAGTCTTGCCCCCAAAAGAAAATGTTCTTGTCTAACGTGTTTTCATTCCTCTATTAAGGGTCATAATATCATTGTCACATTTTGTTAAGAACCCCCTTGATGCTTCATATTTTGTGTAGTCTTGTCTTCATTTAAAATATGCAACTGAGAGTTGCTTAAAGCTGTTTCATACTCATCTGAGAGCCATCAGTACAACACAATTGCAAGATGCCTGATCAAAGCCACTTCACTGATCTCAGTCTCAGGTGTCTGTTTGCAAAACGAACTTTCTTGGCAATTAGGTGCAACACTCCACCTTGGCATCATACTCGGCTGTTCCTTGTTGCAGCCTTTCCATCGAACTTTTTGATAATGATATGCACGTGTATGCACATGCTCTCTGATAGAGATATATACACTCTTTCCCCCCTTCTATGGCCTTTTTCCTGGTTTTGTCTGTTCATTTTCATTTGTCACTTTGTCAGAGGAAAGCAGCATGAAAATATCAATGTTGAGGGAAACTTGTAGAATTTTATGTCATCTACTAGTCAGAAATGTTTTTTTAAAGTGTTCTGCATTTACAGATGTTTGTGGGGTTTTTTTCCCCCAACTTCTTTGTATCTACAAGGTTTGTTATTGTTAATCTTGAGCTAAAAAGTAGTTACTTCAGTTCTGCTGTTAGTAGAGTGCTTAAGGCCTAATAAGGAGAGTAATTGTGTCACTTGCTGATCTTCTTGTCTAGAACTGTAGGAAGCAATAGACCTTCCACACCAAAAGAGACTGTACAAATTTCAATGAAGTTTTATATATTCTAGTTCTAGTTTGCTGTCTACAGTAGCATTAATTTACTATTCTTAGCCAGAAATATGATCTATCTGGCTGTATCTATCCATCTCTAAGAGTGAAACATGGAAAGATTCACCCTCTAACCCATTCAGTGTTAAAAAAAATTCTCTGATTGGACTGAGTTATAATTCTTGTGTCAACCAGAAGATGAATATAAACTTAACTTCAGCCTCAGCACAGGTATTTTGCATTTTCACCATCTGTCTTGGGGCAGAATTTGGGGGGGGGAGGGGAAATGATAAAATTACTATTGAAGAAATTATACTGTTATTTTTAATTTCACAGTTTAATTTTGCAAATTTTTAGATCAATACAATCGGTTGACTTGACCCCTCCCCTGACCCCCCCAAAAAAAGAAAAAGCTGCTTCAGCATTTAATTTCACAAAGTCCCCTTTCAGAAATTTCAAAGAATACTTCTTTAGGTGCTTGACTGCCTTGCCTTGTCTCTTTGCTCTTATTTTGCATGCAAGATAGAGCCAGAAGCCTTTTTTCTCATTGTGTACACATAGTGTTAATGGATCTGCTCTGTCTGTATTGCCTCATTACTGGAAACAGCTCAAAACACAGAAGTCTTTCAGTGTATGCAAATAAGGCAGAATCATCTACCTGAGAGTTAATATTCTCTACTTTTGAGTGTATTCTAAATGTAATGTTTGTGTTTAGAGCATAACATCCTGTTCCCTTTTCTTATGGGCAAAAAGCTAAGCAGGCTCAGGCAGCTGTTTGATGTTGGCTTCAAGTGTTATTAATTTCATATTCTATTATTCTTTTCACTGTAGCACAAGTGAAGCTGATGTGGAGGCTGTCATGGATAAGTTGTTTGATGAGCTGGCTCAGAAACAAAATGATTGTACGTAAGTTAATTTCTCTTGAAAGAGAATACATTTAGAACACAATGCCCAATCTCCACTGACCAATTAATAAGTTCCATTGCTGTATATGGGTTGATGCCACACTCAAGTGGCAGTCATTGTATCAGCATTTTGTCTAATTTATGTGTTGAATCATGTGCTATTATTCATGAAGCTATGCATTTCCTATCTGTAAGAGATGAATTTTATAGTAATTATCCAGAGAAGATTGAGTCTTTGTTCATGTTCCCATAGTAACTAGACCAAGGATTCTAAAAGTGCAAGGCAGAGAGCTGAGGCTGAATAAAGCGTGTGGAACCATTGCAGACTTCACGTTTGAAGAGCTGTGCGACAGAGTAAGTACCCAGTCCAATCTAGATCAGTTAATGCTCAGACTTTTCGCAGTTTAAAAAAAAAAAAAAAAAAAAAGAAAAAAAAGGAATCCAAAACACACAAATTCACTGTTTTCCAAGTCAAACTAAATTTTTTATTTTTTTTTTTTTTAATTTGGCAGAAAGATTTTGAATTTAGCAGGACAAAAAAATCCCACCCTTGGCAAAAGAACAATAATAATTTTCTTTTTAATGATATGGTAAGTTCACTCTTAGGTGTATCACAGATTGTCTTCAAAGATCCTACTACAGTATTTGCCTGGACTAACGTTGTTGGTATATTAGTGATCATAACATATCTGTATTAAATAGCATTCAAATGCAATTTTTAAAACCTGGGGTTTAAGTTGATGCTCAAGCAAATGAGTAGTGATCCTGGCACCACTACAGTAACACTGCTATTGCATGCCTTAGTTTCAACTATGTGTTCAGTCCCAGGACTTCTCAAAATATGCCAGATTTTGGTAAATACTGCCAAATTCTCTGCTTAAACGTATGGGATGAGATTCCTGGAAAGGTCTATTTGTGTGGCTCCCAGTGGGTTGGAACACAGTTCCCTAGGAGTTTCACTGTACTTAGTGACCTCTCTACTGATGTATAAAGTTATTGTTAAGCAACCACAACCCTAAACTGGGCTGATGGCATTTTGATTCAGAATTCTGACTAGTCTTTTGGTGATTAACATTATGCTTTCACTTCCTTGTAGCTACTAAGTTGATAACTATTTGGACAGAAATTTCACTGGTTAAGTTTCAGACTGTAGGTTTTAGACTGTTGGTTTTCAGTTTCAGACAAAACCAGTTAGCCATTTGTAAGAATGGAGGTATGTCATGGGTAGAACAGCTTGCTTTTCACTAGAAGTTGTGAGACTTTTTCTCCCTTGTGCCTCTTAAAATATCAAGAAGCGATGCTGTCAGCAGGTAGTTTTAAAATCCTTTAGTCCAGTAAATGCCTTATGTACTTATATCGGATGGTAAGTTGCTTCCAAATAGAAGTGTTCCGATAGCTCACATGTCAATGGCCACTACTTCGGGTCCGAAGGTTCTGATCCTCTTCAAGAATTACATGGGATTCATGGCATAATGGAGCTGAGGGGCTCGGCTTGCACTCAGAACAAGTAAAGAGAATCCTTATGAAATGTTAAACATTGTTTAACAGTACTGTGTTAACACAGATTGCCCAGGACTTAGGAAGTCATGCTGTCTTGATTTAGATGCCTTCTGCGTATGTGCTATGGCAGTCTCTAACAGCACAACCACATGCTTAAAACCAAAACAACGTGGCAGACAATAAATGTTTTTCTGTAACAGCTTTCTCAGTCATCACTTATTTTATTCGTGTATGCCTCCATTTGTTTCTACCTTTAATTGTTATATACAGTTATTTATTGTGCCATGATTTTTCTCTTCAGTTCACTGATGTACCTTCATAAATATTACATTAATCTGTTTGTTAGGGGGTATCACTGTGCTCCTTTTATAGGTAGAGCAGGATAGTCATGAACTTGGAATTGTCCATTAAATTTGGAGGCTTCAGTTGCCTCCAGTATGATTTTTTTTCTTGATTGGAACTTTTGTAGTGATTCATAGCAACAGTAGAAAATTCTCCTTTATATAAGCTGCATTTAGGATCTTGCCTGCCCCATTGCTCTGTTTGCCCACCCTATTGCCATTGAAATCTCCTAAAAGGCAAAAGAAAAATTCAGAATTCAGCTGTCAAACCATGAAACCATGTTCCTTTTTTTCCTGAAGTCTTTTAACTTTTTGATGGAAAAACTTAAACATGCAGTGTCTTTTTGAAACCATCGGAGTTGCTCCCACTCATGTCACAGAAGTCATAGGTAGGATCCAGAAGAATGCCCTGGTGGTTTATAGCAAAAAATACCCCAAAGTCAGGAGACATTCCACACAACAGGAAGTATAAAGTCATTCATATATATTCCAATAAACTGAAATGGGAAGTGGCAAAGATTTGTGGAAGTATAAAGCAGAAATCTGTAGGAGACATAGCTACAAGGTATTTGCTCCTTCTTGTGAAGCCAGATGGTAGATAAGCTGACAGGCATCATAAGTGCTACTGTTAAGAAAAAGGAAAGTAGGAGGCTGAAAAAGATGTAATGATAAGCAAGATCCACAAAAGAAAGTACTGGAGGGGAATTTATTGGATTTGCGTGGAGTGAATCTGCAGGTTTCTTTGTGCAGGACATGGAGACAAATTCCCATGGGAGATTGTATAAAGACACACGGGGAATCTGTAGCACCCAGGGTGGAGCTTGAATGACAGCCCAAGCAAAGCCTCCTAGGTAGATAAATGACATTTAAAGTTACTATCGTTGGAGTCCATTAAAATTATAACAGAATTGAAAACAAGATTTACAGCTGTAAGACCTGGAGACAAGCATGATAAATGGTAAATTCTCATTGATGGGGCAAAATGAGATATAACTGATATTACTGAAACCTTGTGGACAATTCATAAAATAATAATATGGAATCAGCCTACTTGAAGACAGAGTGGCTAAAACAGGTGGAAGACAATGTGCAACATTAAAGATACTGATACCTGCCTTAAAGTTAATTAATGCAAGGTTCTTGAATACATATCAATCAGTCTGCTAATTAACAAACCCAAGAGGGTTATTCATAGGGATCTCTTGCAAATGGAGAATGAGGTGGATTGCTTCTTGAGCACTTGGCTATAAAAAGCATAAAAAGAAAATATACCATTGTGTGGGAATCTTATGCTGTAGATGAAGCGCAGAAGAAGGTGAAATGTAATTATTTCCAAAATTGCAAATGATAATTTTCTAGCATGAAATACAATACATCCAGTACAAGGTCATTTGGTTGGAACAGCTTTATGGGAACTAAAGTGATGAATTTATATAGAAATTTGTGTTGTATAGCAACAATCTTCTCAATTTTCTAAAATTCATTGAAACGAAAAGATAATTCCAAACAGTGAAGTTACATATTTGAGCATTCAGGAAGAGTAGTTTTCAAAAGCAAAAGGGAAGTATGCCTAACTGGAAAGGGATGTGTAAATGACAACAACAAAAAAGAACAAGAGGGACTCTTTGAGAAGGAAGATAGGAAAAGTATTTCCTGTGCCACTGTTGAGACAGAATCAAATAATATGGAATGAATGGCAACTAGTTATGAAGTGCAGGAAAATTGTAAAATAAAGGTAATGGGAAAATATCATGTCTCTCAGATAAAAGACTTGTTAGGTAAAATGGCAGTTTTGATATGGTTTATATCATCTGGATGTTATTGGCTTATTGCTAATTTGGAGATGGATGGAATTTAAATAATGATGTGGAAAAAGGAAAAGGTTTTGTAAAAAAGATACATTCTAGGTCAAGCAGAGTGAAATACTGTTTCACTAAAGGGTAGTGAAATAATTTTCAGTCTGTTAATAGCTAGCATATGTTAAAAGTAGCCTGCAAATACATTTTGTATCCCTGGAATCCTGGAAAACTAGGCTGAGATCTCTGACTACCTTTTTATTTTGGATTAATGTTGGATTCCAAGAGAAGGTCCACATCACTAGATGGCACTCTGTATGGCAATATTAAAAAATAAACAAGTAAAATTCATGCATACACATGATGACTGGTATAACTGCAGGATATTGGTCAGATTTTGGTCCAGAAGGGGTAATAGAGGAGCTGGTTCTGGATTCATAAATGTGGATGACTAAAGAATGGAAATGAAATTGATTCTCCAATCTCCCTGATTTTGTAGGAGGAGTTGAGTTTTGAAGATGCTGTTCTTACTAGGAAATTAGCATTATGCAGTCTCAAGGAAGCATTCGTTAAATGGATTGCTATGTTAGTTAACTAACATATAAAAAGAATTATTACTGAAGGTTTGTTGTTGAGTGTAGCATTTCTAATGAGCACATTTTTATACTAAGCCAAATATAGCTTTTTCCCCCAGCAGCTTTGAATATAACATAAATGCTAATACAAATTTGCTGTAAATACGGAGTGCTGTGTGTATTGGGGGGAGGAGAAGTGAATACAAGGATGCTGTGTGCGATTTATTTTTCATCCGAATGGAGATTTTGGGGAAAATGTTTTTTTTGGCGAGAGAGTTTGTTTTGTTTTTCCTTTTTTTACATCTAAGCAAACACAAAGTTTACAGCTAGAAATTGGGAACCCAAGTCACAAACACAAGAGGAGACTGTGCCCTAGGCAAAGTGACTTGGAAATAGATTTAAGGACTGTAATGGACAAACAGCTCAAAAGGAGCTTTTGGTCCAGTGTCAGAGCATTTAGACCGTATTTCGTCTAGGGTGGGTAGAGTGGAAATAAAGAGGAGGGTAGGACGTTTACTTTAATTTTGGAAACATCTCAGATTGATGGTAGAGTGTTAGGTGTGGTTCTGACCTGAATACTTTAGAAAATACATTGAAAAACCTGACAGGGCTGTGGAAGGAACCACAAATCATTTGAGCTGGAGCAGACGACAGACTTACAGTTCAGTTTTTTCAGCTTATCAGAAAGATGATTTTATAACATACAGCTATTTTCACAGGGGAAAAAAAATACAGGTATTAGTGGGATCCTAAATATAGCCGAAGAAGGCATAATCAAACCCAGAGACTACATTTGAAACCGCGAAGGGAGTGGCAGAGCCTCCTTGTACTGTGTTTCAGGTCAAAACTGGATGTCATTTTAGGAGGAGGTGTTTGTGTTTGAGCTGCATACTAGTTTTTAGGCTTAGCTGTCTCTAAAATGCAGGATCTTGAAGTACCTCATGATCTCCTCTGGTCTTAAGTTGTCTTGAGACTAGGGATGTGAGAGTCGGTCCCTGCTGCCTGTTGGAAGTTGTGACACTTCCCTTGCACATGTGGTGAACAGGTTTAAGCAGCTGGCAGGGGAATGCCCCCGCTCATCCTGAGGGATAACCTGCTCTCAACCCCCTCATGCTTTTGGAAGTAGGCAGTACTTAGTCTACTATGAACCTGTGCAGTCAGTTCAGACTGAGTTCTTCCAGGGCTTGTAACTTCCTTGGATTTTAGGGGGTTTCACAGGACATATATAGGACATTTCCCTGACACCAAGCAACCTTTCTTCCAAATCTTACATGCCTTGGTCTATGTCATGGAAGCACTAGAACTTCTCACTGAGCTAAAAGGAAAGTAACTTGAGAAGCAAATTAGTCAGAAAGTAACTAAGTTACTCTCAGAAATATAGTACTTGACTGAAACTTTTACAAATAAATTTCGTTCACACAGAGGTGCATGTTCATATGAAGTCAGTTTGAGGCATCCAGAACGGGAAAGTTTCAAGATGAAAAATCAGTTTGTCATGGAAGGTGGATGTCAACTCGTGTTTACATCTCCCATTAGTAAATACAAGGTAGTGAGAGAGAGTGTGGTGTATGAAAAAGCTTACACTGTCAACATCTTCTGACGAAACAACTCAAAATATCATCTAATTTGATTTAGTTAATGTAATTACCTTGATTAAACTCATTTCCTCTGTTACATTTGGTTCATAATTGCAAAAATATTTTTTAGTTTAAGGTAGAGGGATAAGTGCATGTAATGAAGAGATTTGGGAGTTTGGGGGAGTTATTTTTGCTTACATTGAATTGCTGAAATATTATCTTGTAGTTGCAATATTATTTTTTGAGTTTTCTGAAACTGTCATAAACCGCTGCTCATGTGGGTGTCAGTAATCGTTGCAGCATGAGTGGACAATGTTGTACTCAAAACCTGGTTAATTGATTCCTTTGGCTATCCATAACCCCTGTGGGTTCCAGAAAGAACAACTTAAGTCTTGCAAGAGTCAACATGAGTGGAACATGTGAAAGGATAAATGCTTTTGTTACGTTTGAGAAATAATTAATCACATATAACTTACGATTCTACTTTCACTTCATTGCAACAGTGTGTCTTCTAGTCTGGTCTTGGGTAATTGTTACAGTGCAGTCCAGAGGGATAATCACCTAGACCCAGAAATATATGTTTGTTGGTGTAGGATTAAGATGATGTGTTTGGTATTTCTCAGAAAATTACTTTGTGACCTTTGTAATTAAATATTTCATATGAATAGCCTGTCAAAACTCTTCAATTCACTCATGTTTCCTTCATCAAAGTAAAATCAAAATTTTATTTTAAAGGGAAATATTAAAACATTTTCCACTTTGATATCATATGATTTCAGGAAATGTCAGATAATACATAATAGATGAAAATAGCAAATCAGCAATTGATAATCTAATTAAAACATCTTTAGGAGAAGTTTCAAAGTAGCTGCTTTTTAATTAGTACCTGAAGGCCTGGAGAGATAGAGTTGGTGCCTTTCTAGCATTAGTCTTTTGTTTCTTGTGTTTGCATTAAACCTTTTCATCTCAAGAATATAAAGAGTTAATTCTGTCTAAAATAATGCATCAGATACTGTTAATTGCCAGTTGTCCATTAGTGATTATAAAAATAAAATACAGAGAATATATTGTGTGCAATGCTGATAGGACATTCAGTTGACTTGCTAAACTATTGTGTGCATCACTTTTTAAATCATAGATTCCCAATTGAGGAAAATCCCAAGTTTTAGCTAACTTAGTTAATATCAAATGCATACACTTAGCTTTTTTTTCTTTACTGGCTATTTGACCATGTGGAAAACTAAAAAATGCTGGATGAGAGGGTATTGATCTATTTTAGTCGCTTTAGAGCAAAATGAGAAGCAGTTTTTCGGACTTGACACTCCAGGGTTTCTTGGCAGTGTGGCACATGGGAGTGTTTGCCATGGCATGAAAGAAGCTGTCTACTCACTGGAGTGGAGCCCTGTGAAAGTGCTTCTCCAGCATAGCCATCCAGGGAGAACTGTGCTTCATTTTCATTAAAATGTTTGTTATTTTATCACCTTTTCTAAGGCCCCTTAAAATGGAAAATGTAGCCAGAGAAGCCTGGGAGTGGCACCAGGCAGAATAGGGACTCATAGTTCCTATTTGTTTTAGAATTTCTATGCTAACAGTAACTTCCCCCATTCTTTGTGGCCTTTAATTTCTTTCTGCCTGTTTCTCTGTCTGTACAATGTGGGATACATTTACCTGTGGAGTTAGATTCTTGCACAACATAATTAGTTAATTTTTTCATTGAGTTAGTGTGTGAATGAAAGATCACACAAATACTTTTTAAAATAAAATGTACATATCAATTCGGTTTTAAAATCTCTCTCTGTAAACTAGCAATTGTGCAAATATAAGTTATATGTTTATATACACATAAAGGTCAGTGTTCATTATGCCTTACTAAAAATCACCCTCTGCCAGTCCTCTGTCTTTGCTTTCCTTTTAAAATTTCACTTGAAAACTGGGAAGTGTGACGCTTTGGCTTGAATCAGGTATAAATAGTGTCAACAACAGTGTACTTTATGTGTAATCTTCCAGGTCCCAAGGGAGTCGGGAGATCCAGTCTTCCCCGCAGTGCTGCCTTTTAGTCCTCTCCTCGCTTGTGCGCAGCAGCTGCTGCCCTCTGCCGGGAACGCCGGCTGCCTTCTGCCACCAAACACGTGAGCCTGTTCCTCACAAAGGTGGAATTACTTTGGTTCATGCGTCCTTTAGTCTTTCCATTAGGTAATCAAAATATATCCTTTCATCCACCTGCCCAGGACCAGTGAACAGTGTCTTAACATGATACTAACCATTAGCAAACATACAAAAGTTTGAAGGCTTGGAAAATAAATTTAATATCAATATCTGTGTTGTAAAAGGTTATCCTACTGTGATTTCTTTCCTAAGAATTACTTTCCAATTACTTTCCTAAGTAATTGTTCAGTGTTTCTGAAATTGGCAAAACACAGTTTTTGTGTAGATTAATGCAACAAATAATTGGCGAACAGTTTTTGTTAGGTTGCTGTTCCATTGCAATAGGCACGCTCTGTAGACCAGGAGGAAGATGTAGTTCCTGGCTTGAATAGCTTGCACTTCAAAAGCAAAGATGTAATTAAACTTTAAATAAAAAGAAAAAAAAAGAAAAGAAAAAACTCACCATTTTCAAAGGCAACAAGTGATTTAGAAATGCAAGTGTCTGTCTTTAAGTCAACTGAATGTCTCCCCTACATGATGACATAACTGAGCTGCATTTGCAGTTCAGTGATTCTGAACCATCTTGAGAGAATTACCTTCATTAAAAATTGCTGAATTTATCCACTGTATAATTTAGTGTCATCTTTAGGATTGTAGGATTGTCAAGTGTAGTTGTAAATAAACATACTATGTTTATTTTTATTATATTATATAGCAAGCACTATTTTCAGTAACTTTTTAGAAGCATAGTTTACCTTGGTTTAGCATCTTAGCCTAGGATTCCCAGTCAGAGATCAGCTTTTGCAGCATAAGCCCTGGACTCAGAGCCTGTCATTTATAAGCTACATTTGCTTTAGGAATGTAATCAGTTTCTATACCTCCAAAAAAGTTGCCTTGTCTAACTCACAAGCATGTTTTATAAAAGAAACTCAAGAAACTTATTTCAGGTGGAAATACTGTAACACAGTAATATTTTTAGCCAAACTTCCTTTCTGTTTTTTATTTTAGGTGTATCAGAGCTTAATTTTTAGAAAGCACTCCCTTCAGTGAAAGCTGCATAAACCTTGAGGGTTTAGATCCTATACTTTATAGACCAGGGAATACCCAAATGCAAGCTGATAGTAGTGTCAAGGGTTTGCCTTTTTAATTCAATGTTTTGTTTCTTAAATTCTCAAGTGTACTATTTTCTCTTTTTTTAAAGTTTTGTTGACCATGGTTTTGAAATCTTAACAGTAAGTGTCAGTATTTAAATAGACATACGAATGTTTTTAAGCCTTCTGTTTTGGAGACCATTTCACTGACAAATGCCGTACTTTGGAGTTGGAACTGGAAATTTGGCAGTAGAAATTTGGGAGCAGAAACATGCCTTTTGCAGTTCTTCCACTTTGCAGCCAGCTTTGAGCAGCTGATAGGTAGGTCTTTGAGACATCTCACTTTTTATAGGGTCAGTATGGATATCTGTCACTGTTCTAAGCTCTTCTAAGGCAGGAGTGGTTGTGCTGAATGATGACTGAACATAGGAGCAAGCATCTTCTTAATCAGAAGAGCAAAGGTCTGAAACAACTTTCCACTATTGGAAATGTGACTAAAAAACTTGTGCTGGAAGGTCAAGCAAAATTAGTTCCTGCCTGGATTCTGTAATGAGGTAAAAAGGATAGCAAGGAGCTGTACTTGATCCAGAAAATATCTTCAACCCCAGGGTTTACAAATCTCAGATTCTTGTTCTACTGGTTGAACTAGATGATATTTAAGGTATTTTCCAACCCAAACTGGTCTATGGTTCTATGATTTGCACTGCCATCAGTATTGTTAAATTTTTTAACCCAATTAGCCATGCCCTATCTTCCCGTTTTTATTTAAACTTCAGCGTGCTGCTGCATCACAGATCATGCCTTAGGTTTTTCTATTCCTTTCCTGGAATTATGGTCTTGGTGGGCACCTTGGTGGATATCCAAACAGGAAAATGAAAAACCTAAGGAGCTGGACGGAGTGTTTATCTGTTTTATCAGCCTCACTAATGATTGTGTGTGGCTCCTTTGGAAACAACAGAGCTCTATATTTTTTTCTTTATGCTTAATGTCTAATTTGTAAATATTATCTGGTCTTAAATTGTGTGTTGGTTTTAGTAATTTTTCGGATGTTGGAGTGTCTACAGTAAATTATAGTTATTGTCAATCACAACTCTTCAAGGTATTACTGGAACTGGCCCTGGAATATCTTCCAACATCAACAAAACCCATTTTATCTTGAGATGAAATATGTTTTTCTAACGTATGTAAAGCATTCTGTATTCTTCAGACCATCTCTAAAAGATGACATACTGTGTCACTGATGAGTCAACAAAGAAGAAGGATCCTTTATGCTATAATTAATGGACTACATAATAGAAACAGGAGACTACTAACTTCTAAAACAGCCCACAGAGAGCTCCAAATAATAAACATCCTACTTGAGCAGAGATGATGATAGCTGAAAATGCATTAAGTAGACAGAGAAACAAAAACAAATGAAGGTGAGAACTCAGTCAAGCAGGTTGAAGTGGAGGAAACACTTTGTCAGGAGCACAGCCCATGACAGTGCTAATGCGTTTTGCATTAGTGTGATGCCTATAAAATACTGACTCCTGGCATCAGAGTTAATGACAAAGATCTACAACAGTTTTACTGTATATACACATGCAGGAACGATAACATCATAAGAAAAATTCTTGCCTGTTCACGTTTCCAGGTTTTTAAAATAATATTGTAGCATGTGAAAGAACTGGTAACAAATGGTAAGTGACAATTGTTACATAAATGTTTTATTGTTCTGAAGTTGAGTTTTGATGAACAGTTCATGAAACAAAAGAGATCAGACAGTACCAGAAACATACACCAAATTGAATTATTTTTAGAATGTTGTTCAGAGGATGAGATTAATCAGGCTAAACTTTTAGTAAGAGGATTACATATATATGTATCAATATTAGGAGGATTTGTGGCTTCATTAGCAACTACAGAGGAAGAAGTACCTTCATATGCTACTGACTAAAATGAAATACTTTCTGTGACTGGATGAGAGTCATAAAATAAATTTCAGCCCTGGAGGGTTATACAGGGGACAGCGCTATGTGTCTAAAATCATTTGCCATTAGTCTTGGCATCTAGTCTGAGCCTGCGTTGTTGGCAGTCAGGACCCAGCCTATGCTGCAAGGTGAAGAGAAAGGGCCTGAAGGCAGTACAGTAACGGGGAGGGCTGTTGGCTGCTGAAACAACAGAAATCTGCTCCTCAGTGGAGCTTCTGTGTATGGACTGTACAGCCAGAACTCCTAGCAGTGGTGTAATCTGGCCTTGAACCCGCTTCCCCTCTCTCTCTTTCCTGTGTGCCACAGAGTTGGTATGTGCATGCCAGTTTTGGAGGGTGGCAGGCCAGTGAGAATGTGGGTTGAGAAGCTGTCAGGGGCTCTTGCATCATGGCCTCCTGGATTTGGAGCATTTTGAGTTAGCTGGTGAGTTAGAAGAGTTTTGAAGGAATTACAGGCAGCACGGAAGTTGGGCCAATAACAAGGTTAGAGGAATACAAAAAGGGCTCTAAACTGTCCCCAGAACATTTGCAGGTTTGCTGGTGGTTCCTTCTTTTTTACAGTAAGTAGAGTAAGGTAGAAGAAAATCAAAATACTTCCAAGATGAGAGTAAGTCATGTGGGGAACAAGATTGAAAGCTTTGTCTTTCGTCCCCAGGGTTATGCCTCTAAACTCCAAAAGCAGAGAGTTGAGAACTCATCTGTGTAAAGAACTACAGCTGATGCCAGCTGAGCCACGTGTAATATCAGAGTGGCTGACTCGGCACTTCAGCTGCATCTCATCAGACTTGAGTCTTGGCAGGGAGGTACCAAACTTACTCTGTTAAAACACTCATATAGCTGCGAGGCTCACGTCTTTTGGAGCGTAAGATTTTGGAGTCTCTAAAGGCATGTTTCTGCCAACACTTACAGAATATTATCACTTAGTGCTGGTGTAGGTGTTTCATTTCAGCTTGAAATGATCTGCCTTTTATGTCCTTAATTAGAGGTATTCTTGAATTGCCTCTTTTTGCACTGCTGAAGTAGGTTGAATTCTTGTTAGACTGTGATAAACATGCATATCATAACCTTCTATGAACTGTGATTTTATGTCTGTATGAAAAGCAATATAAGTATTCCACCTTCCATTCTTCCCATTTGAAATGCATTAGCCTTATTTTTGTCCTCCGCCTGTTCCCTCCATCCAACTCCTCAGGTTTTTAATTTTCCTGCTTGGATATCCACTGAGGTGCCCACCAAGTTCTTAGATGCACAGCTCAGCAGTTGGGCGCTTCAGTTTGCCTGTTTTGCAAAAGATTGAACCCCTTCATTTTTATTTATATATTTATTTACTTTAGGAATCGGCTTTCAATATTTTATACTTTGTATTTGAGATAAGGAGGGTGTATTTATATGGTTTGGGTGAGAAAGTATATCACACTGGAACAGGACAGAATAGTTCCTCAGGGTTTTGGGTTTCAGCAGAAGAGTTCTTGGGCTCCTCATGTGATAAAAGAATGAACCAGCATAGCAGTGATATCTGTAATCTCTTACCTAAAGGGAGACATGAGAAATATTTTCCTTTCTCTGGTACAGTGAGATCACTGCTGTTCTCCCTCGCAGGTACTCATCACACGGGCACGTTTGATCTCTGTACTTAACAATATTTCAGTCCTAAGTATGGAATAAAAATTACTGTTACCTGAATTATTTGCTTACCAGTAATCTTAAATCTCCAGCAGTATCCTGGTGGTGTTGCTTTTAGTGGGGGACCGAAATGGAGGGAGAGAACAAGCAGTAAATACAATTTTGAGGAGAGGATATAGTGTATACTGCTCTTAAACATTGCTAGAAACACATGAAAGTTTTTGTAATAATTCTTTTCCTTAGGTTTTACTGGGAAGTTGTGTGTTTGGAAATGGGAAAGCAGGGTAATTCATGAGACCGCAAGTGGGAGAACTGGCTGAAGGTCAGAGGCTTTAATACCTGCCTGGGGGGGTTAGTTTATTCCCATTAATTTTCAGAAGAATTTTTGGAATGCCATCAGGGCTTCTCTCCCTTGTGTTTTTGTGGAGACCATTTCTACAAGTTTTTTATTCTAGCATCTAAAAACCTAAAATTGGACAACCATTAGTAACTGCTTAAAATAACTTCTTGCAGAAGGGTTCTAGTAAAGAAGTTACACGTGGCCTATAGCAAATTTGTCAAACAATTTCAGTTAGAGAAAATATTTTTTATTTACTGGTTTGTAATGTTAGCAGTATTGCAGTGCCTTATACTGTTGGTAACAGCACATTTCATTAGCTGGGAAGGGAGCTGTCACATTATCACGCAAAATGCTTCCAGTCTTGGTCTCTGGAGCAGTTTCATCCAAGACACTGAATGAGTTCAGGAGTTCAGAGTTTAATAGCTCAAGATAAAGTACTGCCTATAATGGCCAGTCTCTTCGCGAACGAAGAACCGGGGAAGGTCTTTCCACCTTCCAGCCTGCGCATTGGATTTTTTTTTTAGGTGAGACACAGTGTGCGCGGAACTGAGCCCACCCTTTAATCCTGAGGTTCATCTGCCGGGGCCAAGCGAGCTTGGACAGTGGCAGCGAGGTCCTCAGGACGTAGATGGATTGCCTTACAGGGCTAACGAGCTCCATCTGCTCGGGGAGGGGCCCCGACCGGGAATCGAACCCGGGTCTCTGCAGTGACAGTGCAGTGTATTTTCCCCTGGACCACCGGGGGCTCCCATTTACATTACATTACATTACATTACTGCCTATGGTACTGATAGGATAGATCTTGCAGAATCATGAAATGAAAAAGTAATTTTAAATTAATGTCCCTGAATGAACTACTACTATTTGTACATATCTTCTGTTGGTGGTTTAGATACAGAAAGAGAAACTAATAAGTTCTTACTGAAGTTTTTTATTTGATCATTATACAACAGAAACCATGAACAAAGGAACTGCTGCAAAATTGTAATTTTGTCTGTTTCTTCTTGCTTTCTATACTTAGAATATACAGTTTTTCTTCAGTCTGGGTTAGTCTTGGGTGAACTAAATGCAGGTCTACTTAGGATTTAGTAACTAGCCTATGCATTTGCATTTAAAAATCTTGCTGCTGGAAAGCATCCTAACCTGTTCAAATTATGTATGCTTTAGGCTGAAATCACAGCTTAACTGTGTCTTTTCTTCTGTGGATTACAGTTTATAGTGATTAGTTTATTTGAGTTTGTCAGAGAGAGATCATGATGTTGTCAGGGTGCAGAAGAGCCATATTTTTAACTCTGAAACACTTCATGTAAAGCCAACAGGTATGAATGAGCAGCCATATGTCCCTAAGGGCAAAGGCAAGCATTCCTGAAACGAGATAGAAAGAAACAAAAGTAAGAATGTGATCTCAGGACTTTACAGCTCTCTTCTGTAATTGTAGTATATCAAGATACAGTGTTTATGTGTCCTGTCATGGGTTTCCATTTCTTATGGTTTGTTTTGTTTCAGCCTCTTGGAGCCAGTGACTATTTGGAAATATCAAAGCATTTTGACACAGTGTTTGTTCGTGACATACCACTTCTTACAATATCAAAAAGGACACAAGCTCGTC